AATAAAGCAGGGTTGAATATTTTTTCTGTATCTTTGTGCAGTCCTAGTCTTGATAAGTACCTGGGGTTTTGTAGTTTAGATACATATCAGAAATGAGAAGGATCTTATGATTATAAATTGTTGTAGTTTGTTGATCAAATAAATTAATGTAAAAGTTTAGAAGGCACCAGAGTGATTACCACTATGGGGCGGAGTCAGTCCGAACACAAGCGAAGACCAACAGACTTAAAGCAGCACGTTCTGCAATGTGAGAGCATTTTAAACATCCTTGGCAGTTTATTTATCTAATCAGTTCATGCTCTGTTTTACCAGAATATACATGGTAGCGGCTGTTGGCCTTTGCAGGTAATCAGCTGACTGCCCTCCTTGTTATATGCTGTCTATCACAGAGCACGGATATGTATTTAAAACAGAACACAGTCAATACACCTAGAAATAAAAGTATTTTAAACATTAATTGTAAAGTTCATAATTATTTGAAAGTGTATATATTTGGAGACATTTATGGCAGATTTGAGATGTTTAGGCCTTTATGTACTCTGTGTGTTTGTAAGTTTGTTTACTATCAATCTATCTATCTATCTATCTATCTATCTATCTATCTATCTATCTTGTCTGGAAATATGAAAATTAAATGTATAACTGTATGAATATCCAAATATAGATTATTGGTATAGATAACTATATATATATATATATATATATATATATATATATATATATATATATATATATATATATATATATATATATATATATATATATATATATATATATATACGTGTATACATATATATACATATATATATATATATATATATATATATACATATATATATATATATATATATATATATATATATATATATATATATATATATATATATATATATATATATGTATATATATATATATATGAAAATGTTATATAAAATGTATAATTCAGTTTCTGATTAACAGAATCAGAATGGCACTAGTTGCCTGTGGCCTCAATGCCAATAGCCAGATAACACCAGCTGGTCCACCGCTCTTGTGCTGCCCGACACCAGTAAGAGATAAAAAGGATGTGTGTGAAGTACATATAGCTTGCAGTCACATACTTTGGAAAACCAGTAAGCAAGTTTTTTTTCTCTCTTCTGAATATGTTAGCCATTATTCATACTTATGAGAATATATTGTTTTAGGGATTATAAGATGTTGATGAGAAAAACACTCTACCATGTTGATGAAATGACAGGAAAACCCAAATTTGGAAATTGATGAAGATTTTTGAAATTGTTTTCTCATCTTTTAGTGAACTTCATCTTTTGTGTATTGTAGGTTTTTCTGCCAAAAACTAGGTTTGTAAGCACCTTATGATACAAGAAGATTAAGGAAAATATACTTATTAAACATAGTATTTTGTTACCAGTAGTTTTACCTTCCATACAGAAAATAAATGCAAAACTTTTAGGTCCCAGATATGTTTGGATAATGAATTTTGAATTCACAGTTTAGAATAATCATATGTATTTTGTTCTTTTCTTTTTTATATAACTGACATAAAACTTAGAGATGTAAAATTTCTTCTAGCAAAGAACCTCACTTATGTCATGTTTCAGATGCTGGTTGGCAAATTACTGGCTACAGAAATCTTGATTATAGTCTGGAAGAGGAGATGGCACAGAGATGGAAGGTAGGATACGAAAGGTGTTACCTGCTTCTGGTATTTACATTACCTTATGCTGATCATTTTAGTTGCTGGAAGTATATAGTTATGGTTATGGTTCATAGGCTATCATGTATAACTTCTGACTTGGAATAGGGTTTGTGTAGGTGAATTATATTATTGATAAAACATATATCATCTAAGTTATTCATTAATAAGGTTGACTAAGTTATTAAAAAGAATTATGAACAACCCACAAGCAATTATACCAAGGTTTAATAAGATAAGTCAGCTGATGATTTGCTCCAGCAGATATCTATGAGCGAGATGCGAATGGCTGCCATAAACGATGATGGGGCAGTGGTTCTGCGTGAAAAGGGGCAGTGGAGGAAGCTCTTCTTCCAGAGAGATACTGCAATGGACTCAAGAAACTTAGGTGCTTAGGTGAAAGCATGAGTCTTTGTTCACATCTTTGATTAAAAAATCATAAAACTTAGAATTAGAAAAAAATATTTATAATTATATGTGGAAAGGTATGAATGAGAACGAATATCTTCACAATACAAGAGATGTATTTTACCGGTAAAATACATCTTTTGTCTTGTGAAGATATTTGTTCTCATTCATACCTTTCCACATTTGTCAACATGAATACGGTTCATAATTATTTGTACTTGTCTAGTTGGTGCCTTTTGGGTTGTTCCAGTGTAGAATAAGGAGAATCAAAAGTTATTCTTTTTCAAATTTGACAGGTCCCTCAGTGCAGCAAGTTGAAGATCAGGACAGGATAGCAGAGAGTGAAAGTAATATTCATCATACAACATCTCAAATAAAATTCTCTTCTGTCTTTGTTGAGGACAACTCTCTTATAGCTCTCGATGAAGATAAAGTATAAGATGTTATTTTCTTTCAAAGCAGGAACTTAAAAAAAATAAATAAATAACTGATCTTTCCTTGGGCTTTCTCAAGGTTGATATTTTTAAATTTCTAACAAGTAGAAATAGAAGAAAAATATTGAAAAGGAAATTATTGTGTTGAAAGTCATGTCATGAAAGATTACTATACAGATAGTTGTTATAACATATACATATTATGCAAAAATGAATAAGCTATTTATTGCTAGTATGAACAGAAAATGCTGTTTATTTAGGTTGCGATAGTCAAGAGTCAACTGTTTTCTTATATGTTGACCATTATATGTTGAACAACTGTTTGCATTAAACATTTTTGATTTTCCAAATGGGTTCTCTCTATAGGACACTATGACATTTTTTAAATAGATGTAGTGCAAGAATATATTTTTTCAAATAGATTTAGTTGAATTTTTTTTCAAATAGATTTAGTGCAAGTTTTTTTTTCAATAGATTAAGTTTGCTTTTTTCTGATTGATTTACCATAAGAATATATATCCTGCCCTGAACCACAGATGGGAAGATGTACAGCATTGGTGTTCCTCTACCGTATGGTGGCAGCAGAATCAGTGTCGTTGAAGTGGGGAAGGAGCACTGTATGGCACTAACAACGGATGGAGTAGTCCTTACCTGGGGCAGTGGAATGTAAGTAGTGCACATCCTCAGAGGTAGGTGGAAGTAAATACAAATAGATGTTTTTTTTTCCCTAAATCTCACTGGGTATCATTTTGCCAATATGGGATGAAATTAATTAAGATCATTCTCCAATGATGACAAGAAGAGCTCATTTGACATTGAAATTAGGATATTGAGTAAAAGGTTAATGATAATTGATTTTAAGAATATAATGGGGGAAAGATTGATTCCACTAATATACTATCCCTGCTGTTACAAATTAGCATTTAAGATAGTCTTTTACTTTGGAAAAGAAGTCTATCTCCTATGAAATGTCAATAACAATGTGATATATGTTTTATACTTATAAATGTAAGAATTGTGTCATCAGGATTCACAATGGAAATTTAGTTGTACTCTTTTAGACTTTAGATCATCTTATGTCTTTAAGTTTCAGTTTCTGTATCTAGAAAAGATGCTTCTAAAGAGAGTGAGAAGGAGGATGACAGTGAGTGACACAGAGGGAGAGAGAGACAGACACAGACAGAAGCTCTAGGTTCTCTCACAGATATAGTTAAAGTTTGCAAAATTAGTAAATATCAGATAAATTTTCTTTAGCCAGTATATTTAAACTGATAAGGACTTTTCCTGTATCATTTTTAAAATCTACTTCTTTTTCTTCTGAATAATTGCCTGCTAGCAATGGACAAAAAATACTTGCCTAACTCCTACACATAATTCAATTCGTATTAATTTCTTATCCCACTTTAGGCGTGGTCAACTTGGCAATGGAGAATTGTCCAGAACCAGTAGAGAGTCTCCAAGGCATTACTATCTCCTCCATAGCCTCTGGGGGTTGGCACTGTGTCGGTAATTATATATTTTTAATTTTTAATTTTTTTTTATTATTTGTGTGGGTGGGCTGTGGCTGTGGGTGTATGTTATCTTTGATGACGATAATGTATGCATATTTTTCTTATATATAAATACTTAATTAATTGTTGCCTTTAATGGTTTGAGTTTAATCCTGAAATTAGTGTGTTAAGAAATATACTGTATGGTATCTTGAGTAAATTAATAACATGTTTCTGGAAATAGAGGATCATCCGTAAAATTTTAATAATCTTCTTTTACCAATTTAAATTTCCTTTAGGCCTTCCTTAGCACATAGTACAGTATTGTTACCTCAAATCTTAGGGAAAGGAATTTTGGATCTGTGGAGGTAGAGTATAGCTATGTTTGGGGAATGAGCTCTTGCATCAAAGAAATGCAGAATTTTCAACACTGAATTTTAGCTTGTGATATTCTTATGTAATTTCAAGTCTCTGTTTTTACTTTCTCGTTTCTTTTTTTCTGCTCCCTCCTTTTGTCTATTTCCTCTCTCTTCTTCCCTCCTTTATCTGGCTTGTTTCCTCTCTCTTTTTCCCCCTTTTGTCTTTCTCATCTCATCTCTTTTCTTATTCTCTATTGTTTTATCTTATTTCCTCTCTTCTTCCCCTTTTTAACTAGCTTATTTCCTTTTTCTTCTTCCTCCTTTTGTCTCTCATTTCCTCTCTCCTTCCTTCTGTCATTCTCTTTGCCTTTCTTTTCTTCTTCCCTTTTGTCATTCTCATTTCTTCTCCCTTCATCTTTCTCATTTCCTTTTTCTTTATACTCCCCTTTTGTCTTCCTCATATCCTCTCTCTTACTTCTTTTTCTCTTCAACAGCTTTGAGCACGAGTGGTGACGCATACATGTGGGGCTGGAATGAAAGCGGCCAGTTGGGCTTCCCAGCCAAGGCAGATCAGGAGGCATCGATTTTGGGAACATTTAGCCACAGATGCTGATGTCCCGAACCAGTTCATATGACAGACACAATATTCAGTGACAGCAAGGTGGAAGAAATTAGGACCAATGAACAGAGTGGCAACGATCATAAAGCATCTCTCGAAGGAACAGGAGATTGCAGAACTGATCCGAGAATCAACAAGGGCCGTGCGAAGGATGTTGTGAATGTACAGACCTCGCCCAGGCTGTTGGACTTCTGGAATGAAGATATGGCAATCATAGATGTCAAAGGTGGAGATAGGCACACATTATATCAGCTTGGTAAGATTACATTACCATACACTTAGAGTTCATATGAATGTTACAGGCATATTTTCTGTAAGTAAAGCATCTTTTTTTTTTTTTTAACAGTATAGGTTTAAAGCTTTAGAGCCAAGTTTTTTTTTTTAAAGTGTCAAAATTGTTAATGATTCATGAGCCATATTCCAATTCAATTAGTTTATTCCATAACATTTCAGAGGATGGGAGTGTATGGTCCACTGGCATGAACAAGTTAGTATGCTTTGCCACTTAAGGTTTTGATTAAGTTATATCCTTTGTCACAATTGAAATGGTTAATGGTTTAAAAGCAAAATAGATGTGTTAGATTTAGTGCTAAGGTCATATAGCACTATAGGAAGGTACAATAAAGGGTGGTTAAAGGGGATAGTGTTATGCATCAACTATCTAGAATATAAAGGAGTTGACGATTCACAGGTGAAAATATTTTTCATTCACTTGTGGCAGGCAATCTGTAATTTTTAAGTTCAAGTAAATGATTTTATATTACTGATATACATATATAGATTTATACTTTTGGCGAGGTCAGATATTACTTTATATCATAACCCTAGATATTTCAATATGCATTTCTTTTAGTTCTATCACTGGATAATTCCTTAAACATGAAATGCCATACAAATGTAATTTTTATTTATTTATTCAGGTACGGCCAGCTTGGTTTGGGCGACACAGCCGAGAGGAATGAACCTTGCCTGGTACCAGTCACAGGCGTCAGAACAATGTTTGCTGGGGGATGGATTTCAGTGTTTATTGCAACGGACACTAGTGGGAGATGACATGTGGTTTGCTGCTGCTGTGAGCACTCTGTGTATATATATTAATTTAAATTTGTTTATATGTATGTTGACATGTATGTAAGCACATGTACATATAAATACACAAATTACCAATCTTTTTAATTAAGAAATGAAATATGTCTCTTCATTAATAAATGGAAATTCGGTTTTGCTGCTTATTTGTTCCTTCTTAATAATAAACGTGAGCAGAAGCTTTTGTGAATTTAGCATATCACAGAAGTATCTAGTCAGTATGCAGTTTATGGTAAATGTGTGTTCTTCTTCATCTCTTTCTTTCTTTTTGTTTATATAACATATTCTGAACATCTTTACACATTGATCTTTCAATTCTAGTTATAGACATAACACTATAATTTTTGTAAATTGTGGCACCAGCATATCATGTCTCTTTCTTCAATTAACTGTTTCTTAAGTTACCTATAAAATTCCCACTGATTATATTAATATTATATTAAATTGATGATGATGATATTATATATATAATAATAATAATATATCACAATATATAAAATAAAATACTTGACTAAATTTAAATAGGTGCTCTTTGAGACAATTTCTGATAAATAACTAGATTCCATAATTTGTAAATATTCATAATAATGTTCTGAAGAAGCAATGTTCACACAGTTTATACAATGCAAGCAGGCAATATCATATTTTCCCAAATACAAAGCAGAACACAGGGAATAAAGAATATTTCTGAAATGGAGGATTGAGAAAGAACTAGATCGGGAGAAAACAACTGACAAAAAATGTAACCAAAACATAAGGAACTAATGAAGGAAGAGTTAAATGTAATGAGTAAAAATGTAACAGAGGACTAATGCAAAAGGTAGTGACAGAGGATACAAAAAAATACTCAAATAATGAGCAAAAAATAACGATAATGACAGTATATGAAAAAATATTTTGCTAATAAAAGCATACAAGAATTATTTGAATAATAAAAGCTTAACTTATTTTTCTTGAGGGGGGGAATAATATCAAAATAGATCAGAAATGTGTGGGAATAACGTCAGAAATAAACATATTTAAAGGACAATAACAAGCACATTAATCAACAAACCAATGCTTGCTATTTGAATTCTATGTCACAAGGCACTTCCAAAATTTTATTTTAGTATTGTGAGCCCCACTCTGCTTTATCAGCATTGCCAAAAAATGTTTCCTTCCTGATTTTCTGGTATTGCCCTACCCAACCTGACAATGTTGCCAACACTGGTCTGTGTGGCTGTGCCTGCCAATATCACCGTCTGCAATTAATTCAAATATTCATAAAAAACAAGGGAGATAAATGCCCTCAGGAATCCAAAAACATACATGCATTGCCTTATGCTTGATCACATGCACACTACCACAACAAATTTGCGTAAACACTTGTTTATATAATAAATGTAAACATTCCTGAAAGGTGTATATGAAGTGCGTAATTTAGAGAAGATTGAGACCAGGCTAAGCCTCAGTCACAGTGATTGTGAAGTAGATTCAAATATAACAAGTCAAACATGGTTCTCTGCCAGGTTTTAATGTTTTTTTCTTTTCTCAAATAGCTTTAAATTGTACAAACTGATTTTTGTCACCTGTCAGCTTTAGGACTTTCTCATTTTGGTTCTATTAGCATTTTAGGCACCACTAAAGCTTTTTAGCATATGTACACTTTTTCTTCTCTCAAATGATTTTGACTGGACTGTAATAATATGCAAAGTAAATCCATTTCTATTGTATATTCCCCCCCCCTTGTACCAACAAAGATAAAACATAGGATAGGCTTTATGGAAGGGGTATGCAAGCAAGTGCAGTACAAGTTTCTTTGTGTTGTGGCTAGGTTTTATTATTTGTACAATTACCTAGAGAAATTCCTATGCCCTATGTTATGTGGCATCTTCTCAGAAGTAACATTAATACCTATACATAATAAGGTATTTGTACTATAGTAATGGACATTATGGCAGATATGTAAACAAGGAAGTAATCAAAACCTCACCAAAACACAGGTAGTCTTTTGAAGCAACAGTGATCTAGCTGAGAGTATCTATCAATTCACAATATTGATTTTTGTTCAGAAACTGGACACATGACAGACTTGTCAATAAATATGTGGTGGATGGGTTAGAAGTTAGGGTTAGTACAATATGAGAGAAAAATTAAATAAAGACTTTATTAGACAATCTCTAATGGTTTGCAGGAAGAAGGTGGTGCATGCATGCTTTTGTCACCACAGTCTACGCATGACTGATGTGGTTGCAACATAATAAATAATCAAGTGTGACACTAATGTTCACTTATTCGGCTCTAAGCGTAACCCTCTGAGTGCACTCGTTTCTGGTATGATTCTCCTTTGTAAGTGGATGAAAATTATTATAACTTAATACAATATTACATGTCGTACATTTCAATGTCATCTGGTGTTCTATCCTTGTTTATACTATGTATGCTTAGTGCACTCAAATGGTTAAACTGTAGGTAGTGAATCTTATGACAAAAAAAGGTTGCCCATATATATATAAATATGTGCAGTTTATAATCCTTTGTAAAACCACAAACAGAAATTTCTGTCATCCCCTTGTAAAGAGGATTACAAAAGAGGAAAATAAAATATCTCTTACACTGTGAAAATAGATTTGAGAAATCAATAAAACAATCATTACATGGTAATAACAGCAAGAAGATGAAATACTAGCACCCAAAACCCTTGTATATGAATAGTACGCACTGAACACATCCTGAAAGTTCTAAACTCATACAAATGGTCTTGTTACAGAAACAAAATAACAACTGATCCATAATTCACAGGATGATACCTTAGCTGCTCTGTCATTTGTTGAGACCAGGACATGAGACAACTGCATCTGATCAATTAACATATCAAAAGAGAGACAGAGAGAGAGAGAGAAAAAAAAGACAAAGATGAACCATTTTTTCCAAGGTTTTATCCTGTGAGGTCATGAAGTAAAGAATAAAAAATGTAACAGAAGGCAGTGTAAGTTAAAAGAAAAGGAATTAAATCTAATGTTTTGTACAACACACAAACCTAGTCATGGAAGACTGTGAGCTTATTCTAATGTCTTGAATGAATATCAATTCCCAGAAAAGAAAAGAAAATAAGGAAAAAAATGCAATCCCACCAACAATATATAGAAAAAATACAAAAATGAGAACAAACAGTGGTCTTCTCACAAACACGATGGAATGAACACCTAAATTCTCCAATACGGAAAGAAACTGGAATTCTGAATAGTCACCATTAACTCCCATATGTCTGATAACAGTAATTTGATGGATTCATAAACATACTCATGAATGCATGAAGATACTCATGATTATTCTAATAAACTGATATATAGGTATGCAGGATTTTTTAAGTAATTCTTAGCAGTTGCATGACATTGTGAACATTTGAAGTAGCAACAAATACTTCCTTATTCAAGGCACATAAGAATCTGCATTTGCATTAGTGCATTTCTCTGCTGCAGTGAGAGCAAGGGTGGAAGTTGAGGACTGAAGACAGCTGCTGTACTATCTTTCCAAAATGCTGCAATCCTACACTACATACCAAAAGTTTGTGCTTTCTGGTTGATTCTTTAATATATTCCAATGCTTCTTATAAGCAGAAAATGATGCTAGAAATTGCTAGCAGTAGCAATTTCTTGCCACTCTAGGGAGATTTAGATCTGAAACCTTTGCAACGATGGTCTACACAATCTAATCATATACATATATATTCACATGTATGTAATAATACATAGATTCAGACACATCTTGAAGCTTCTATTGGAATTTTCAATAATGGTGCTAATAGAAAGAAGGCTGTTCAAAAACCAATAATAAAAATCACACATGACCACTCCTGAGAACCTTCAGATTACCTACACGTCAAAAATAAACCAATAAATTCCTTCAGGTTAGAGGACATAAGGCACATTGTTCCTAGCAATATCACAGTATACTGTACATCTGTTATACATATTTACTTTCATTGGTTCTATATATAAATATAAAGAATCTATGGCATACTTTCATCATATCTCCTTGATGAATAAATAGAATTAAAACATTTACATCATGTGCATATTCCTGATGTAGTTAGCTTATATATCAGAGCAGATAAAAATTACATTCAAAAATGTAGACTATATTTATGATCAACCACTAAGGCCTATGTCACCTCTATCAAATACAGTATACTTCTATGGTTTTACATATAATTTCCCAAGGTACTCAATTTGTATGTTTTTAAAATCATTCCACTTCTGTCATCTGATGAAATTATGTAATACCAATGATCCTGCACATACACAAAAAAAGAAGAAAAAAGCAAACTCTCTTAAAACAGATATTTGCACATTCTCTAAGACTGGAAGCCTCTCAGCAAACTTCCTGATATGGACTGGGGCATCAGCAGGACTGAGCACCTGCGGAGAGACATGGCCTCCTTACAGCTCTTCTACCCTCGGCCGTGTCTTGATGTACACGAAGATGGCCAGGAGGAGGAAGAGTCCTCCTAGGATAGGAAGAGCGACGGTGAAGGCCTTGTCTTTGTTCTCCATAAACTCCTTCTTCCTCTCACGCTTCTCCTTTGCCGATTCCTTTGGCTTTCCCTTGAGCTGACGCATTGTGTCTCACTGGCTGATCTGCAATGAGGCGCAGAATGAACTCATTGTTCCGGCAGAAGTATACCTTGTATCCCTAATGAAATAGATTTATATTTCCCATCATTTATTGCAGAGGATTACATGATCCTGAAGTAAGTCCTATTTTATACAAAGATTTTACCAGATGCAAACTGGGAATAACACTTGAAAACATTAGCGCCGGCTTATTCTAGATTCTATTTGACTTTTCATTTGTATCAAATTGCTCTAAGGTGAGAGAGATATGTCCTAAATAAGCGCCCTGCACATCATTAACTGAGATTGCGATTGAGTTTGTTTGTGGCCACACATCATAAGGCATTATTGTACTAAGGTCTATGTGGTACCCTGAAAAATGGCAAAAGTAGTTTTAGTTTATAGTTTATAAATTTTCTTATAAAAGAGTTTTGAGGCTTTTTGTATTTCTTTGAATCCATGAATCTCTAAATTTTCTATCCTTTAACCCACTAATGACAAGTGTTCCACATGAGACACCCCAAAAAAATAAACATTGCCGGGTGACCTGACAGTGTGACACTGTATCGGGGCTTGCGCTCCAACGCAGTAGCCGGTCGCAACCGATTTTGTTGCGGCCCGGAATCTTATATTTTCGGCTTCAAAACATACCAGCGTTAATGGGTTAAAGAATGAAAGGACAAGAAGTTTGAGGGGGAAAAAATACGCTCTGATTTCCTCTAACCAAAAGCAGTGCATCATTAAAAGTCTTCTCTCATCATGTAATGAGATGGATGCATATATATATTCAGATCAAAAGATCTTGAATGAATTGAATGGCCTATATTTTACTTATCAAGCTTTTTTTCAAACTACACTTTGGCTGAAAAATGCAACCCAAAGAAAATGTCTATCCTATGAAGTATTGTGTCATAATCTCTTTGACAACCCAGGATAATCATGAATCAATATGAGCCTGAATGATGAAAATATATTATAGAAAAAGGTCAGGTATACAAATTGATGTGAAACATCAGTCAACCAATTATGACACTAGCAAGATCAATAACTGCCTGAAAAACATGCGGAGAGGCCTAAGGGATATCGGTTAATTTTTACAGTATGGACACAGTTTGGACAAATTGCAGATAGTATTCTTGTAGTGGACTAAACGTTGTAGTCATCGGTACAAGAAATAATCTGCAGACATGAACAGTACCACCACAAAATAAGGGAAATATATTGTAGAAAGCGATGCTCACAGCTTAAGTCCACTTGGAACTCTTGAACTTCAGCTCCATCTTGCTGTGTATCCTGAGGTGAAGGCAAAGTTTCCTGGGGGTGTTGGGGAGGTGGAGGGGGAAGCCCCCCTATCAACCCTCCCCTCAGGCAATGCCCTAAGGACTTTGGAGTTGGGGACAGTCTCAGGTGAGTTTGTCCATAAGGTAAAGAGTAACCAGGATATCATTTCTCTTTATATTCTAATAATTTCTTATTCAATATGCATTTTGATCTATGTTCACAGCTTGTACTGAACACATATGGTCATTCTAAAATTCATATTCCTCTTTCCAAACACCTATAATAAAATAAATTCTGTTCTGTTTTACCCTATACCATTATCTCATCACTGTAAATCCCATTTCAAAAAGATGTTCCCTCTCCTCTCTGTACACTTAGTGAGCTCTCACACAACAGGTGTTCTACCATATCAAGCAGCTTCCAACATTTGATACAAAAGTCTCCTTCCTGAGAATCTGAAATTTCTGGAAACCAATGAAGGTCTTACAACTTGTTCATGCTTTCCTTTCAAAATTTATGACTTGACGCCTCATCTGGTACTTGTAACTGAAGTATGTTCTTGTTCTACAAGTGGATAATTCGTACTATATATTCACGTACATGCAATACATCGTACTTTCCCGTATTAGGTTTCCAAGAGCCGGTATGGCTTACATGCTATCAAGTTATAGATATATCAATATTTATCCCTTTTACACTATCTTTATGTAATAAACCCATTAGAAGTAACATCGATTTTCAATATCAAAAGATAATGATTAGTAGATTTACGAATAAAGGTATAAATATGTACTGGTCAGTGCCAATAGCTGTCAAAAAAACTAGTAACACGATATTTAGCAAATTTAAACACAATAAATATGTATTTCCAAGAACCACACACTAAGTACAAATAATACAGTCCATTTTACCTAAATATAGGGGCGAAGAAGATGCTCACACAGCTGAAGGCTGACGTTTACTGCCAGAGATAAGAGGACGGAACGTGGCGTTGGGATGCCTCGGAGTCGCCAGCTGATATGAAGTGTTTACAAACGTCATCCGCTGCTTTCGACGTGGTGCCAGGGTCAAATCAGAGTCTTAGGTCTACTCGCTTTTATTCGCAGTGTTGGGCTTTTTCTTTCCTATTCCTATAATGTATTATGTTTTAATTGTCAGTTTATGTATGGTGATTGGTAGATATTGTCTGTTTCTTTGTTGTTTAGTTTCTTTTTGGGTTTAGTATAGTTCTAATTTTGCTGATTATCTTTTCGTGCGAAATGTCAAACTGATTATTACATTATAGGTTTGACATTAGATTCGACATTTATATCCTTCTTTATTATCGACTGGAATTTAGGTCTCATATCCTCATATATGCATTTCATCGATAAATTCATAAACCGAGTCACTTTTCTCAGAATAAAATAACCACATATCCCCTCAGAAAAAAGTAACCAATCACAATAAAGTTTTAAGAGCCATAGACAGATATCTTAATTCCCATTGGTCACTTTCCCGAGCAGACCCATCCTACCAAAATCCCCTCCTGTAAGCGAGTATCCGCGCGATTTCTAGCCAATCATAACTCAGTCTTTGGCTTCACATAACATAAAACTCTATTCTGATTGGTCTAGTATCCTACGAGGCTCGACCAACGGAAAGGGATCTTGTAAACACATCCGCTATTTATGGTAAAAGGTTGAAGCTCGGCCGAGGGAGAGAAAAGGCGCTGGCGGTGAATATTTAGGGTGATTTTCCAGCTCCGAGGCTCCAAATCCTACGAGTAAGTGAAGGAGAGGGATTGAAGGATTCGGTTACGGGTTTCTGAAGGATAATAAAGGAGGTTAAAGCTGGGGAAAAGAGAGCTTTTGAGGGCGGTGATGAGGGTGATAAGGTGGGCGTGTGTAGGTGTGGGAGAGATGATGGGATAATTAAATTTAAATTACAATTAAATGTGTAATTATCGGTGGTGGTTGGCTGTTCGCTTAAGGGGAAATTAGCATTCTTAAAAAGATTTCAATAACGTAAATTTAAAAGCCTAAGATTTAAAAAAAAATCTTAGTGTGTTGGATTCCCTCTGAGCCACCTGTATCTATTTATATATTTTTCTGCATTTTCAGTCATTTTAGGAGTTTTTAATCTATTGCCTTAATACAGTTAAAGAAATATCAATGTTAAGGAGCTCTAATCATTAAATTTTAGGTAGTCTAAGGAGGTGAAAGTTTATTTTTATTTTCCAGGTGCTTATGGTAGGGCAAGATATGGGAAGACTGAAATATTTTTGTAGATAAATTATAAAGATTTGATTTTAAGTCCCATTATTTTACAATTGATTATAAGATTTAAGAGAAGTCATCTCAAGATCTTAGGAGTCATATTACATTCAATATTATGATAGTAGTATGATGAGTCATATCAGGATTTTGTTATACCGTTTTATGTCGTTTTGATATATTATAAAGATTAGGGTCACAAATGTTCTGAGACTATGCTACTGGTGAGAATAACAAGTGTCGTTCTATATATATACAAAATTTTCCAATTTTATTTTAGTATTATCATTATTTACTTGATAAATGTTTAGGAGACACCTGTGCATTTGCTACTGACCTTGTGCAAGTTGATTCCACAGCTGTCAGTGCCTCTACACTTGTTTGGAAATCACCACCATGTAATATTTTCTAGCATGGGAGGGATTGTAGTCTCCTTGGGAATATAGTGTCAGAAACAGAACCACTCGACAGTCTGTCTTGGTAGATATGTATGATGGAAATGTGTTAGTCATTGCTGGAGAGCATAGTGTAGAGGCCATGACGATCCCTTGACAGTGTGCCATTTTTAAGTTGAAACTTAGAATGTAGGCCTGTCAAAGATCCAGCAAGTTTCATGTGGATTTAGGTAGAGTACGGTTAATATTATTACAAGCTAAAAGTCACTTTTTGAAAGCCACACTGTTAGCTTCTTGTAAACAGTTCCCACGTAATTATTTATTTCTTCAAATCATTTGTATTTCACCAGAAAAAAAAAAAACTTGTAGTAATTTCTTCAGTGAAAGAAAACCAGTTGCCAAATAATGAGCAATGCACACATAAATAAGAATTATTAATAAGAATTATTAATAAGAATTTCCCATTTTATGGACAGTATTAACATGATTGCATATGATGTAACTAGCTTTCCAATGAAGGAAGTCGGACAATAAAAATTGTCGTCGTTAATTTGCTAATTCCAATACTTACATAGTTGAGAGGTTTATTAGTTTCAAAGCTATGCAGTTATTATTTTTGAAAACATGGAAAATGCTGATTTTTTAAAATTTCATCCTACAAGTTAAGATTGACAATACAAGTGTCATGAATAATTTTTTTTAGATAATCTCCTGAAAAGAAAGTGCATATTAGGAAATGAGTCAAAGATGATTTTATTTTGATATTAGAGTAGGGTACATTTCCATACTGAATATTAGAGAATATGGAAAAATAAAGAAAATAACTTTGATTTAGGTAAGCAACTCTAGTTTGCTGATTTTTGTTTATCTGTCAATAATCTGATATTCAGATTACAAAACTCGATTACTGTAGCATGAATTCATAAATGTTGCCTTTTGCTGGCTTTGCATCGAGGTTTATCGTCGTGCACTATTAGATAAGATCCTTATCATGATTTTTATCTTACACATATGAACACCGTTGCGACTTCAGAACATTTGATTGAATATCCCTAAATGATAGATTTATTGTTTATTTTTAAAGATGAACAGTGACAAAACTTCCCATATCTTTATAGGTCATATTTTAATTGAGCAAATCTGATTTATCATCAAAAACGTGATTAGTTAGTAAGCTTGTTTATTTGTTATATTTTAGTTCTAGTATTAAGCAGATAAAATTTATTTGATATTTGTTATTAAGACTTCTTTTGAATTCTTTATTTTTTATTGTGTAGGAAATGCAGAGAATTTTAGAAATTCTCCAAATATTCCTTATAGCCTAGTTAATGAATCGGTGGTCCATTTCATTTCATAAGCATTTTTTGGTTGTTGAGGAATAAATCAGCCTAAGATGTAAAGGAGATGTAAAAGAGATGAAAATTAAATTTGGTTATCATTAGGCAGTAGTGCTTTATAATCATACATTTTCATTCAGATATTTTCTCCATTATTTTACTATAGGTACTAAGGAATTTGAAGATTAGATGAGTAAAAAGGAAAATCTCATTCTTATCTTATTCTAATGGCTGATTGATTTATTGAAGAGAAATTATGAATTGCATTTAGGAAATCATTTCCATGTGGACTTGTTCAAGAGGTTGAAAGTCAAGGATATGTACAAAGGCTGCATGTATTTGTAATCTACATTTTAATAATCCAATGGTAAAAGCATGAAGCAATTAAGCTTTTATTGATATGCAGATAAGAAGAGCCATGGCTTTCTTGAATAAGAAAATGGACACACTTTGCGATAACCATAGCGTCATCTAATAAAGCTATATGTTCCATGTTTATATACAATCCATTATTAATGATGACCTTCTCAGGCCATTGCTGAAATAAAAATAACTCCCTGTATGCATTTATAAGATATACAAGTTCATATTTTGTTAATAATCCTGCTCTTAAGAAAAAAATCTAATATACTGGTATGGAAGTTAATCTGATATTAGGAAGAAAATATTAGAAATATAGTGACAACAGTATGCCTCTGTGCAGTGTAATTGATAGCAAAGCAGGTATACGGGGAGAGGAGAGACTTGATGGGAATAGAGTATATGGTACATATATAGTTGTATTTAGCTGTTATATGCATTCTGTATGTTATTAGTAGTCAAATGCTATTCTTTAGCTAGAAATACAAAGAGAGGTGGGTAGGAAAGAATGGAGAAGTACCAAGAAGGGAATAACACTGTGGGTTTTAGGTAAAAGTAATAGGCTTATGGAAGGAAATAGGTAAAGTGCATAGGCAAATAGACAGGGTTCCTCCTCAAAAGAATAGATGAGTAAAATCATATAGAAATCAAATCTATTGTATTAGAGGTAGCCAGTAGCGTGTTTTCATAGAAGCCGAGGGATTAATGGAATCCGAATATTAGAGGAGAGGAGAGAGTAGTGCATGAGGACTAGCCAAAAGAGTGCGGAGAAGCATGGCATGGAGGGAGGAAGTGCATGGCATGACATGCATTTAGTTCATGGCATGATGTAATGAAGGGAAATTCAGGGCAAAAGAAAGGCAATGCAGTGAAGTTCTTTGCTCAAACCAGGGTTTTTTAACTCCCATTCTGTGTAAAGGGTTATAGGTGAAAACCAGTTTTGAAAAGAATCAGATTTGTAGATAGGACATCAACAGTTAGTTTAACTGTACCTCACTTTGGGAAGGTTATCACTGTATTTAGGAATAGTGGATATCATGGTAAGCATTAGTGTGGACATAGAATAGATTGGAATTTGTGAATGTGAAATGTTTGTTGTGTGGTGCTTTTCATTTTTTTATTTCATTTATTTATTTATATATATTTTTTATGGATTTTATATGTAACTGAAGGATTGCCTGTTTT